AAAGAAAAATCACATAGGATCGTTTGACTGAGGACTAAATCAGGTTGGTTGAAGACTGGCTGCTCTTTGATGTTCACCAAAATGTGCGCAGGGTGCTCCTTCCAAATCATCTCCACTGGTTGAGGGAAAAAAAAAAGTGTCTCTCAGGTTTGCTGTTCGCTGAAAAAATGTTTATCCTTGGTTCACTGCAAGCTGGATGTTACTCGCAGTCATCTGGACTGAACCAAAACCACAAGACTCACACATCAGCTTTGTTGACGACTCCAAAATGGTCCGCGATGTTTCCGCAAACACGGACGCTACGTGTGTTGACGAGACTTGAAATTGTTGTTTATGACAAAGCGTTTTATGGGTTCTCCCTTCGAGGCAGACAGCTCATAAAGTTGAGAGTAGCGCAATAAATGAGAAGCAATAAATCAGCTGTTCGGCCCAAGTCGTAAATGACGTCGCTGACGGAATGGCGGCTCGTCTGCAAAGAGCAGTTCAGGCAAAAGTTGCGCTGTCGCTTTCAACGCAGCCGGATGCAACACCATGATGTTTGCATGTCTGACACATACGTAAAAACACAGACGCCTCATCGGGCGAGTTGGCCCATTACTGCCATGTGTCCACCATATTGGATGTGGCAGTCCATGGAGCGAACCTCATAAAGTGCACAAAATGAATGCCTGTCATTCATTCATTCATTCGCAGATTTGGCGATGAAATCGGTGCCCAAAATAATCTTGTTTTACACGGCAATTGAATCAAGAAGAGAAGGTTCTAGTCCCGAGAGAGGTTCCGCTTTCAAAGACGAAGGTTCTCCTTCCAACAGCGGATTCAATTTACCTTGTCCTACTGAGAGAAGGTTGTCGTCTGTCGTGAAGCGTCTAGTTACGCAGAGAAGGTACCAGAGGGTGGTAGAGTTTTAGTCCAAGGTGAAGTTTCTATTTCCAAGTGAGGGTACTAGTCCCAAAATAGGGTTGTGATCCCAAAGAAAAGTTCCCTAGTCTTCAGAAAAAGGTCTTGGTCCTGAGAAAAGGTCATCGTCCTTACAGAAGGTAATAGTCCCAAGAGTGTTGCACCCCAGACAAGATTCTAGTATCGAGAGAGGATGTTGATGCCCGGCGAAGGATTGAAAGAAAGTTCTCGTCCCGAGTGAAGGCTCTAGTCCTGGACAAGGGTTCAAGTCCCGACAGAAGATTGTGGGCCTTTTTTTAGTCCTGAAAGTAAACAGTAGTCCCAAGGTAAGTTGGTAGTATCAAGGAAAGGTCCCCCATCCCAAAAGAATGCTACTGTCCCAAGACGAGATTCTTGTCGCAAGGGAAGATTCTTGTCCTGGGACAAGACACAAGATGTGCTGTTACCTGGAGAAGGATCCAGTCTCGAGAGAAGGCACTCGTCTCGACGGGAATCCGCTTGTCCCAAGAGAAGGGCTCTTGTCCTGATGTACAGATCTTCTCCCAAGTGCAGGTTGAAGTCTCGAGAGAGGGTTTTATTCCCGAGAAAAGGCTTTGGTCTCAAGGGAAGGTACCAGTCCTGAGAGAAGATTCGAGTCCTCAAAGAATGTTCTCGTCTCAAGCGAAGTTTGTTGTCTGGAGAAAAAAGGCCCAATGAGGCGTCTGTGTCCGTATGTCTGCTGGTGCCGTTGTGTGGCGGTGGCAGAAGTGGCCGCTTCTGTCCGCCTGTCCGTCCGTCTGTCCGTCCATCTGACCATCTGTTGGTGTTTCGTAATGGCGGAGGTGGAGGCGGTAGGGTCTGTCTGTCTCTCTGTCTGTTGAGGTGAATTAATGGATTGACTCTCGACAACCTCCCAAGGTGGAGCGAAGTCCCCCGCGGAGTTCGAGCCGCATATCATCGAGGGTAGGGGCCCCGCTTGCATTTCCAAAAATCGACAGGAGTCTTGACTGTGCATTGTGTCTTGATTGGATGCAAAAGAAAACAAAAAAATAAATAAATAAAAAATCAACTGCTACTTTGGACTGATTTTATTTGATTTATTTTTAACTTGGCGTGCTCGATCCACGCAGGGCCGGACTTCTCCAGGATCACCACCATCCACGGCAACCCCTCCTTGATAGAAAAGGAGTCTGAGAGAATCACCAAACTCATCCAAGGTTCGTTTGTTGTGGAACCTCCGAGGTCAGACCGTTTGGACCTTGATTGTACTTTCGTCTGGAAAAGTCACGATCTCGGCACGATCTACGCGACGCCGTGGACGTTAGGTTCACTGAAGACTCGAGATCTCGAATGTTGATCGAAACATGCGCTTCGCATTTGTTCTCGGTTTTTTGATGGATTGGGGTGGTGGATTAAGTCAGAGCTCGGAGATTCCGTTTGTGCACTTTCGAGATCACTAACGATTGTGTGTCCATGTTGCAGAGGGAGGCAAGTTTGCCGGTGTCAGGAACACTCCAGGTAACAAAGCAAAGACGGCGGCGCTCCCTCACTGACCACGGCACGTGGATTCGGACTTGTTGTTGAGTTCCCCTTGTGGTCTTGGTCCTCAGCCGGCATGAGGAGGAGGAGGACCCGCTTGGTGAGGCGTCACCGCAAGACCGCGCCCCACTGAAGAAACCCATCAGGCCCCGATGGATTCACAAGAAGGCTCATCTCGGCTCTATTTTTCTATCTGGATCGAACAATTGCTGTGATCAAAAAGTGACGTGTATGAATTATGATGATGGTGATGATGCCTTTTTAGGGCTTTCGATTGGTGCTCGCGTTCACCACCGTGGATGCTTTGAAATGTTTCCAACAATTACATTCATCTCAAGGTCAATAAAAGACATTTTCTAAATCCACGGAGTCCCGGCTGTCTTTGATCTTGATGCGAACAGCTCATCTCTCAACCCTCTTGAGTCTTAAATGTGTTTTCTGATGTCAAGTCCTCTTATCTGTAGAAGGATAAGCGCGTCTTTCATTCCCCATTGATGTGTCGAGGATAAAGCGAGATCCTGAGGTCGTCTTTGATGTTGAACTGAAAGGATACCTTCAATTTGTTGAATCGTCTTTGATGTAAAGAAAAAGAGCATCTGGTCAACAGTTTAGTGTTTCATCTTTAACTAAAAACATCTTTCAATTTGTTGAAGACTAAATGATCTTGAATAATTACGAAGAACCGCATGCGTGCAGGAGGCCAAATGTAAAAAAAAAAGTACAATTTTCGTTGAAGAGTAAATTGTCTTCCTTGTTTTCGAGACAAAAACGTACGTTGGCTTGGTTGAAGAGTCATCTTTGATTTGAAAGAAAAAAGTGACTTGTTTGATGTTTAAGAGAAAGCAGAAGGCACACGGCGCCAAACGTGCGCTGACTGTGCGGGCTCCGAGTCATTTCTGGAGGCTCTTTGATGTTTTCCAGCCAACCCATCACGGAAGTGCCTCCTGAAGCCTGGAAACGTCTCCGTTGACCAAGTCCCACGTCTTTTTTTCTGCGTTCGGACCCCCCACTGCGTCTCCAGGTGTCCTCCCGGGGGCCCGAGCCCAAAATCTTGGCCGGGCCGGGCTCGGCGCCCTTCCACCCGACCGTCTGGTCGTCCGTCCGCGTCCAGCTGGCTCAATTAGCAGCAGATGAAACTACAGAGGCCACATCTGCTTCATCTGGGCTGGGACTCGTCAAGTTGACCATGACGTAATACCCGAAGAAATGTGCCAGTCCAATTCCAAACCTCGCAATGCATCGACAGCGTCGCATGTTTGAGCCTGTTTGATCGGGGGAAAGAAGGCTCGACAAGTCTCGGTGGAGAAAAAAAATAATAAAGCATCGCTGTGGCTCACTGAGGACTCCGATGTTTGTGGAAATGCGCCCGATGGAAGAAGTGGCGACAAAACCATCTTTGCGTTTCCAAAAGAGTCTTTGCTGACTCTGAAATGGGCCGAGGGGGCAGGTGTCAACCTCAAGGTCTGGAGATCCGGACCGCGAGGCCATTTGACGTCATGCGCGTCGACTCTTGAAAATGTTTGTCACTTTTGAACAACACTGAGCTCAACAATTTAGCAAGTTTCCGTAGTTAGCCATCGACCACGTGTTAGCCCCTTTCAACGACTTTGAAAAAGGGTTGAACAAACAATTATTTACGAGCTTGCGATGCAATTGCGTACGTTTGCATCTTTCAGCTCTAAACCATCCCTAATGTTGACCAAAATGTGTGGCAAGATTGTCGGCATCAACATCCAGTGCTTTGACAACATGCAAAAACAAAAAAAAATCGGCTTTTGGTTTGCCAAGGACTCCAATTTGACACATTTTGGGGTCATTTCCTTTTATTTACGACTACCAAGATCATTTCTACTTTTGTCCCAAGGGTTATTCCCATGAAGGCATTGCTGGGACTCGTCAAGTCGACCATGACGTAATACCCGAAGAAATGTGCCAGTCCAATTCCAAACCTCGCAATGCATCGACAGCGTCGCATGTTTGAGCCTGTTTGATCGGGGGAAAGAAGGCTCGACAAGTCTCGGTGGAGAAAAAAAAATAATAAAGCATCGCTGTGGCTCACTGAGGACTCCGATGTTTGTGGAAAGGCGCCCAATGGAAGAAGTGGCGACAAAACCATCTTTGCGTTTCCAAAAGAGTCATTGCTGACTCTGAAATGGGCCGAGAGGGCAGGTGTCAACATCCAGACCGCGAGGCCATTTGACGTCATGGGCGTCGACTCTCGAAAATGTTTGTCACTCTTGAACAACACTGAGCTCAACAATTGAGCAAGTTTCCGTAGTTAGCCATCGACCACTCTGTCAGCAACGTGTTAGCCCCTTTCAAAGACTTTGAAAAAGGGTTGAACAAACAATTATTGACGAGCTCCTGATGCAATTGCGTACGTTTGCATCTTTCAGCTCTAAACCATCCCTAATGTTGACCAAAATGTGTGGCAAGATTGTCGGCATCAACATCCAGTGCTTTGACAACATGCAAAAACAAAAAAAAATCGGCTTTTGGTTTGCCAAGGACTCCAATTTGACACATTTTGGGGTCATTTCCTTTTATTTACGACTACCAAGATCATTTCTACTTTTGTCCCAAGGGTTATTCCCATGAAGGCATTGTCTTGTTTTGTTTTCGACTCTCTTTATTGGCAGGGGACCGTCAAGGATTTCTGTGAAAAAAAAAGGGCGTCGTCATCGTGACCAAAATGTCCTTGGAAGCGCCGCGGACGAGAACGTGCCAGAAAGATGATGGTGATGACTCCATCTTGTTTGATTGTGAGCAGGGATGTATTTTGGGAAGTCAACAAAATGTTTCCTCTGCCTTGGCAGCCACGGTGACCTCATCATCAGACCGCGGGGAGCTTTTTTCCAATCCGAAGCTTTTGACCGGGTCCACGAGTACAACAAAGCAGACACAAATCATCTCCGTTGACAAATGGGGACGCCGATGCGAAGGATCTCAATCGTCTTGGCGATTTGAGGAATTCGCACACACTCTTGGATCTTTTGACTATGCGATCGACGCCCATTTGTAGATTCTTACTGTTGTTTTGCTTTGTCTTTTCTGGTCTTTTTGCAGCAGAGGAGCCTGACGAGAACCACGGCGGTCAACGCCGGCACAGCCGCAAGGGCCGCCAGCAGCAGGGCCACGTCGACGCCGTAGTACGCGTACCAGGGCATCTCGTAGGCCCGGATGCGCAAGTGCCGCGCCCCCTTGTGCCGCATCACGTACTCCACCCAGAAGACGGCCCGGTCCATGGGCCTCACGGGCTGATCGCGATGCAGTTCCGACAGCCTCCGCATGTTTCGGCGGTAGCCGTCCCGGCCCAAGACCTCCTTGAGGCCAGCCTCGAATCCTTGGCTGAGGTGGGCCAACTCCAGCACCTTGGCGGCTCCTCTGCGCTCCAAGCGCACCAGGTTGTCAAACTGGTCAAAGAAGAGCGGGATGCCCAGCACGGGGACGCCGTAGAAGATGGCCTCCTGGAGTCCGTTGGTCCCCCCGTGAGCCACAAAGACTTTGGTCTGCGGGTGGGCCAGGAGATCCTTTTGGGGCATCCAGTCCACCACCAGGGTGTTGTTGCCCAGCGCGGATGGCCGAGGGCCCTTGTGACGCCAAATCACCTAAAATGCAAAAGGCAAAAGCGGTCAGAGTGTTGATTTTCATTTGCTTTGGGCGTTGAGTCGGGGGGGCGCAAGCTGAAAGATTCCATCACCTTCTGTGGCAACCTGGCGAAAACGGCGGCGATTTCCTCCGCTTCGCGCTCGGGCATAGCGCCGACCAGACTGCCGAGACTCATGACGACCACGCCGTGCTCGCCGGCGCTCTGGACAAAGTCCTCCAGGTGTGCAGGCAGCGGGCGGCCGGCCCGGCACTGGAAGCCCCCGATGTAGATCACGTTGGGCACGGTGGGCCGCGGGAAGTCAAAGATGAAATCGCTGCGGAAGAGCCAAATGTCGGCCTGTTGGAGGAGCGAGTTGATGTCGCAACCGCCCCGGATGTGCTTCTTGCAGAGGGCGCTGTAGACGGGCTCGATCAGAATTTTCTGCTGGAGGGTGACCAGGACGTAGAAGACGACGTTCTTCACCCTCTGGAAGAAGTTCATTTTGTCCGTCAGGCCTGAGCCTGGCACGGGGACGTAGGAGAGGGGCGACGGGGCCACGGCGAAGTGGCCCTCGCTGCCTTGGATCCAGCGGACGTTAAGCACGAGAGGAAGGTCCAAGTACTTCGCCAGAATCACGCCGGGAGCGATGGCCGGGTCGGTCAGGACCAGGTCAAAGCGGGAGTCTCGTAAACTCTGAATCTTCTCCTCGTCATCCAGGAACTTGGAGAGGGCGGCGCCCCACACTGAGTGGGCCTGGTAGATGAAGTTGGCGAACTCGCGGTGCATGAAGTGTCCTTCTCGGAGGCTCTGGGAAAACGGAGACCAGAATGACAACAACTTTTCTCGGTTGACTTGAATGAAAAATCAATGTCATGTTATTTAGGACGCCCTCTATGGGCATATTTGCATTGCAAATATACGACAACTATCACTCAACGCCGACTGTGGTCGTCATGGAGATAACGAGGTGTCAAAACAAGGCGCGCGCCGGTGACGTTTTTATCCAATGCCGTGATTGGTCAAAGCAAAAGTTTGGTAGGTGTGCACAAAATGCCGCATCGCCCAATCAGCGCCAAGTTTTTATGTTTTGCATTCTATGGGACTGTGAAGAAAGTGCCGCGAGAACTTGAAGATGGATAATTTGGGTCGATTTCATTGGGGGCTCTTGGCGGCGGCCTTAGCCAATCAGAAGAAAGCTCATTGCATTGTTTCATATGAGCAGCCAATCCAGTATCCCGTTGTTGAGGGGAGGAGTCAGTTTGCCAGCCTCTTCCAGGAAGTGAAGTCCGCATCAAGCATTTGCTACAATTTGCATTTCTCTCTTGGGTGAGTTTATTTTTCCCTTGCTCTGCTTCATTTGTTTTGAAGTCAAAAGCTAATCCTTGAAGTACAGAGTGGAATACTTTGAGAGTAGTCACAATGTGGATGTTTTGTTTTGTTTTTGTTTTTTTTTTTAATGTTGGGTGATTTTTATTTCTCAATGCTAAACTATGCTATTAGCAATGCTATGAGGTCCTAAACTAATGACCTTCAAGGGTGTGTGCGAGACTAACAATGTTGTGGTGCTTTCGTACAGTGGATTTTCTATTTCCACTTTTAACCTGTCACTCCTGACTTTAGTCGTTGAGGTGAATCTAAATTTAAGGTTTTATTTATTTATTTATTTATTTATTTTAATTTGCATTTCCATTTCTATTTGAGGACACCGCTGCGATGTAGTTGTGCTGCGTTTTCCTGGCCAACGGCAGACTGGAATGATGGCAAGTCAACCCATTTGTCGAACCTGAACTGGACGGCCATCGTTTGCGACCAAACTGGTAGGATCCTTTCAAAGTCGTTTCCATTCCTCAAACTTGATGATGATCATCAAGTGTGAACATTGCACTCATTGATTGGCTTTTATCAATTATTTGTTACCGGGTATTAAATACCGCTACTACAAATATGACAAAAAAACCCATAACCAGGACACTACCTTAATGAGCTCCTGTATAAATTCAAAAAATTCCTCCCATCCTCCGGCTACGTCGATGGTAACGGCGGTGTAGAGCGGCGAGCTTTGGGGCACGTAGACGCTGTTAGAGGCTCTGACGACCGTCAGCCGGTGTCCTCGCTGGTGGAGCTCCTCCAGAAGAACCTTCATGTTGATCCAATGGCTCCCGTCCACGGGGAACACCAGGATGTTGCCGCCGTCACAGCCCGGCGGACCCATCGACAACGCCAACAGGACCAGCGGCAACAATGCAAGTGGCGGCGAGACTGAAACACAGCAAATTGGCACAAGTCAAAGGCTTCTTGATGAGCAAGGTGCAGGAATGGACATTTTTCAAAGTGCTCTTGAGAAAGGAGAGGCTCGACTTAAGATGAAAGAAGTTGGATTGGACATCGGCCCCAATTTGCCGGTCCCGTTTCAAATCACTGTCCAGTTGAAGACCCAAGCAGTTTAAGAGAGCAGTCGTTCGTGTGCACGCCAAAGTTGACAGAAGGTCCAACCAAGTTCACCTGGAAAGCTTGGAATGCACTTTAGCTTGATCCTGACATTTGTAGCCAAAAGCAAACGTACCCATGGTGCGGATTGGCAGCAGCTACGGAAACAGGCGGCAGCACGTTGTCATCTGAATGTTGGACTTGAAACTGGAGGCAACGGTCAACTTTTAATGTTTGGTCTCCGGGCAAGATAACAACAGAAGTCACGTGACCTTCGCAGTCACGTCACGTCCCGTCCGGTGCACCTGGAATGTGCGTCATCTCAATCTCAATAGCCAGCGCAATGGAGAGTCGTGACTTCATTTCTTTTTTCATCAACTACAATTACAGGTGCATCTTTTGTAGAAGATTTCGTGCCGCGTACCGCCCCAAAAAAGAGAAAGAAAATCGATAGAACCAACATTAAATTCCAATAAACTGGAATACTTTGATTTCTTCTTTTTTGTTGTTTTTTTTTGAATGACACTCAAGTGTACTTAAATTCTTCCCCGGTGTTGAATCTCAACTCATCCATGAGTGAAATGGGTGGGGGGCCGGCGGGGGTTGGGAGCGCCTGATTCAGGAAACGGCTCCCCCTTTTTTCTGTATTGGACAGGTGCTTCCTCCTTCCTGTTCGCTGCCTTATCAAGCGCTTCAAGCACACTCTGCCGCGTCAGCGCACTGCGTTTGGTTCATCGTTTGATGCAAAACCGCTCGAAATATCACATGCGCCGCCGCCAGGTCCGCTGAACAAATAAAGGGAGTGTTTTTTCAGCCCTGATCCGGACAGGATGATGACTTAAGTATCACCGTAGTAAAGAATGGAGTGAGCAAAACAGCTGCGGCGCTGCTGACCAGCAGGAACGAGTAATGCGCAAGCAGCTAACCACGGGGGCGGGGGGCGCAAGCAAACCAGCGCCCAAACTTGTCCGCAAAGTTTGAAGGATGTTGGGACAAATCTCAGCGGGAGTGCGAAGTTGGACACAAGGCGCACCCATCGTGCAGCGGCACGTTCCCCGAGCCGTCTTGTTGCCGTCGTCGGCGAGCAGGTTCGCGCTCGCCAAATAACTGCGCGCATGATGTCAGCGTGTTAACATGACGGCCGAGCCAACAAAAACGCCGGCGTGCCAACCGCTTGACAGCGCGTTCACTTTGTAAGGCTGTTTGTCGTTTCTCCACACCTGCGTGCCGGGGTCTCTGCGCTTCATGGAGGAAGACGTCAAACGCACAAATCTCAAGTTGTAACACGCGACGGTCACCCGATTCCGATGTCCGGTTGCACGTCGTTTTGGACGGGGTTGAGAGCTGAACCGATAAAAGAAATGCTGGACACTCCGAAATTTTCTAGTTGTAACACGCGACGGTCACCCGATTCCGATGTCGGTTTGCACGTCGTTTTGGAGGAGGTTGAGAGCTGACCCGGAAAGGAAACGCTGGGAACCCCGAAATTTTCGAGACAAATTTGACGTCTTCGAGGACGGATATTTAAGGTCGGCGAGGTCAAACTTCATCAGTTGTCTGAGCACTCTGACCGTCCGTTCAAGAAGGTAACTCCGGCCAGAAAACTATAAAAAAAAAAAGTGCTCAAATTCCGATAGCAGCACATTCGTAAAAACAAATGAAACCTTTCACAACTACCCGCCCCCCCTCACCACACCGCCCACTACGCCATCCACACGTGTTGGCATCATTCGCAAAACAAAAAGCAACGACACAGGGGTTGTGCACGTGTGCGGTTGCGTAACACTCTTTATTGTGACATTGTCCACACAACTCATGGAAGGGAAAATAAACGTCATTTGTCTGTGGAGTGTGCACGGAACTCACGAGGAAAAATAATGTGCATTTGTGTCACATTTTTCTTGCGTGACACACACACGCACAGCAACAAGTCCGTCATCTTGTGAGTGAGTGTGTGCGTGTTGACTTTGACAGCTTTGTCTTTGTTGACGCTGTGTGGCCTCAACGCAAACAGTCCAAAGGGTCGTGCGGCTGCTTATGACATATGCGCGCGCACAATTACACACACACACACACACACACACTGGCTTTCGAACTTTTACGACACTCGCTGTCGACCGGCCGTGAGAACCGGACACAGACGCCATCTTGCAGGTGGCCGGCCGCCAAAACGAGACGTTGGGCGTGAGAAAGCGCGGCCCGTCTGCTGAAGTCGTGTCCCGAGTGAAAAAGCAACGCCGGCAAGGGTGATAGATTCCTGTAGATGGCGCTAGGCGGCCGTGATCAACGAGTCCGCCCAAATGTTGTTTTTTTTTGTTTTTTTTAACTAGCCCGTTTTTTTTTTGTAGTGACTCTTTGAATTGAAGCTTGGATCCAAAATGGCCAACGTCCGTCCGGCTCACTTTCAGCCACGGGTCCAATTTCCTGTTGATGCGTGAAAGTGGAGACTTGGGCTGAAGTTTTTTGCTTCAAACTTTGAAAGAGATGCAATTAATTTTGCTTTTTTTCTCCCTGTCATCAATGACACGTGCACCAAATTTTGTGTTGATCAGAGAAACTGGTATCGGGGGCTCCGTTTTTCCAATGTCCCAGAACCGTTGCGTTATGTTAAGACCCCCTAAAGGCCGTCGGGTTCATACGATTGGCAGCGTTTCAACTTGAACCTCTGTGGGCTGTTGCTTGGCAGAGGTAGCGAATGGCTCACTGAGCATGGCGGGCTTCACAAAGCTTTTCAACGTGACCTGACACTGATCCAAAAAGCGAGGAGTTTCCCTTCCTGCTCGCCTGCGACCTGAGCCGGAGTCTTGCCCACTCAACGGACATCGGCGCTGCGTCCTAACTGCATCCCCCGTGCCTCTGAAATCCGCCGGAGGGAGTCCACGTTGCGACACGGGCTGGATGCCCGCCAAACGGCGTTCCAGTTGGCGAGTGTGGAGCCGAGCCGGCGGCGTGTCTCCCGCTCGTCTGGAGCATCGACGTGACAACATCCCGGACGGCACGGAAGCCAAAGGGGGCCGCGGGTTTATCACCTTCCGAAGACGAGCAGCGCTTCATGACGCGGCCGTTGAACGACCTGGCATCCTTACCGACGCTTTTGTTCCCCCGACGGCCGGAAGCTGAGCTAGCTTGCCGAGCGGCTTCGAAACGCGCAAGTGGAGCCCAGAGTGTGATCTTTTTTTGTGGTTGTTTTTTTTCCACTGCTTTTGAATTGCCAATTTTATAACCTTGGTGCTGACAACGAAGCTCATTCGAGAGTCGTATGTTAGGATTCTTACCTTCTGCTTTCATTTTTTTGGTGGCCGGATTCCTCCGCTTGCGAAGCAAAATCGTAAGGAAACGCTGGAACCTCATTTCACACGTCTGATATTGTAAATCTGGTGGCGTCTCGCCAAGGCGCTCAATCGAAGAATCGCCCAGCCCGACTTGTATTGTGACGGCATCGGGCCGCCAAAAAAAATGCGCCGCGGCCCGGGAACCGCCCGTTTCGAAGCCGGATCCCTTACGGTCTGCGAGCCTGCCCACGCGGCCAAACGTCTGCAAATATAATCAGCGGACGTGGGACGCCGCATTCAAAAGCTGATGTCATCTCGCAGATGTAATGCGTACGGACATGTTGGCTTTCTTGCGGTTTCCTCAGTCTTTCCGACGCGGCCCACACCTGTCAGGCTTCGGCGGAGCGGCTCGGGCCGCCCCGTTCCAAAGGAATCCGCCCGCGCCGTTTGCTGGCCCGGCCATAAAAGCCGAGAGCCGGACCGACGGCTAACCGGAGGGAAGGGCGAGAGAGCGAGCCGGCTTTTTCATTGTGCCCGAGCAAAGATGGCCGCTCACGCCCACGACGACTGCATTTCTTTCCAACGTGTCCCCGCCTCGGCCTCGTGCCCGCTGCGGAGCTTCTCGACGTCTTCACTTCATCTGCACCGATGACGGTTGTCGTCGGCATCAGATTCATTTCGCCACCCTCCCCTACCCCACCCAGAAAAAAAGTGTTCATGCAAAGGGATTTATGACTTTTCTATTCAGCGCGATGACAGACTCATTTTTTGGGTGGGACAAGCAGAGCAACGTGCGTTTGCTATTTTTGGCACGTCCTTGACGTGACCGCAAAGCAGTTTGAATGAACATGGAAAATGTGGACTTTTAGCGGACGTTATTCTGGCAAATACAAGCCGGGGATAGGATTGCATCTTGA